CTTTAGGGGATAACAGCCTTATTCATTCCACATTTCTGCAAAAAATATCTATTTTTTCCTCAGCAGGTATCTTCCATGGACACGTACCTTAGGAAATCAGCTTTCTGTGACCATCTAGAATTAGAAAATTGCTCCATAGCAAAATCATTGCCAAAAGTTTCACTCACTTGTCGAAGGTTCTTTCCTCTCTTTAGTGTTGGTTCCTGAAGTTTTCTGCCTCTGAACTAGGATCATTTCCTTCCTAGTTCTTTCTGTCTTTGCCTCTGTTTTTTTTTTTTTTTTCTGATTGGTTAGGAAAGAGACCTAGTCTGGCACCTACTACTTCTTATCAGCCAGTGAACATCCTGCATTTAACTTAGATCACAGGTATATATGACAGCAATGTGAAACTGACCTTTTATATTGCTCTCCAACTTTTCCCTGGGACCTACTTTTCACTTTCAAAATGTTCATCTTATTATATATGTTTTGTTTTGTAACCCATTTGAAATCTTTCTTAGGAATTGGAGAGGAAAAATGCATTTAATGTTTTGCAAGAAGGCATTAAATGTCTGTTCTTTGCTTTTAAATGGACTTTGACAATCCAGTCTATTTAAATAGAAAATAAAATGCTTTAAGAACAGTGCATTTATGTTGGTCCTTTCACAGTCTCTTTCAAAGGCAGGCTGACAATGAAATAAAAGCAACTGATCCCTCATAAACACAGTCCTGTAGGAATTTCCTTTGACTCTACGAATGGAAATCGTTTTACTATTCACTGTCCCTACTTATGCTTTTTTCTCAGATCCACTAGTACTTCTTTTTGCTCTACTATCATCATACAGTTGTAGCTTGATGGTACATATGATTTTCAATTGTAACTTATTCACAAATGACATATGGTAAATGCTGCTATTATTCCTGCTAGCTTTCATCATCCCTGGTAGTTAGCATTAAATAGATAAAATATAAAAATTTAATTGTCCATCTTAGAGGATGACCCTTGATAAAAGTTTCAGACAAGTTCAACATCTTAGGCACTTGTCAAAATTGCTCCATGTCCTATTGTCTTACCTAATTTACTCATTTTCTAATTTTTGTGTTTTTCTGATACTATGTTATATAAATATCTGTCTTAGAAAATGAGACAATGAGAGGAGACTAAATTTATCAAGAAACTGCGATGACTCAGTTATTGCACTAGTTATATTATACTCTTTGCTTTCCAAACTTAATTTCCATAGAGTTACTCATGTTTGATACATGAGAAAACTAAACTGAAGAAAAGTTTAATAAATCTCCCCTGGTTACTCCCCAAATTACCATTATCACACCTTGAAAGTTACCAATAATTCTTTAATGTTCGTAAATGTCCTAAGGTCACGTCTCAAATTGTCTTATAATAGGGATTCCCATAGAGTTTTATTATTATGGTTTTATAATATAAGGCCTTGACTGAATATAAAGCAAAGACATTTCAGTCTTAATTTCTTTTTGATTTTTTTCTGGACTTCCTTAACACTCATTATTCATGCTGATTAATGTGTAGTTTAGCTAAAAGTATAAGAAATTCCCAAACTAAGGCCATATGTTATCAGACTGACATTAGATTCATACAGTCTTACAAAATTTATTTCATCAATCTAGAGATTTAATGAATCATTCCAAGGAAAATGAGTCTCTATTTTAATCAGGAGTCAAAATACTCTTCTCAAAAGGTATCTTACACCAATGGCAAAGGATAGTAGTTGTTGAACAGTTATAACCCAGACAGAGTCATTGGTGTATATTTCCATTCACATCTATTAGACTGAAGTGTAGTTGATATATCGTTCAGCACTGATTCTATAGAGAAGTGAAGGTAACAGCCAACAGAGTAACAATGAATGGAATAGTATTATGTCCAGGTCATCACTCTGTTAATGAATACATTTCAAGGTAGTTTTTCTTAAATTTATATGTATTAATTAGTCAGAGTGTGATAAAATTCATTTCAATGTACATTTTTAGGAACATTTGATTTTCATTTTCTCTAAGTATTGATTTCAACCTATAAGAAAATGTTTTGTCCATATTAAGGTGAGCCCTTAAGGCTTGATAAACTTTAATCATAAACAGGTTTTATTGTAAGCATTAGAGCAGATTGAAATATGTCTGTTATACTTATCAATAAGCAAGTTGGCTTAAAGATAAAAGGTGTTTTCCACACATGACACATATTTGCACCAGAACACGTGAGCTATGACATGACCTGGTGCTCTCAGTTGTGTAGCTAGTTTCATTTCATCAAGATGCATGACACTCAGTTCAAAATGAAAAGACAAGAGTTTGTAGAATGTTGCAAGATGATATTATTTGTAATAGTCTAAGCTATAATATGCTATTTTCTATATATTTTTTTCTCATTTCAAAATTCATTTTTAATATTTTCACTTTTATTTTTTTAGCACAAACACACACACAACAGATTTGTGTGTGTTTAGATACAAATAAATAATTTTGCCCTTTCAGTGTTTCTTGGCAAGTCCATTATATTTATTTTGTTAAGTCATCTTTTAGACACTGTTTTTCCTATCTTTTGCCATTATCTTAAGAAAGGCATTAGGAAAAACAAATCATAGGAACTCAAGCTTTCTTTGTTGTTAAAATCTAGGGTGAGAGGTGTTTTGTAATGCACTCCAACAAGTTTTCATTTTCTTCCAGTATGCATTTGAGAAATAGTAAAATCAAAGTCATTGAATGTCCGGTTTGAAAACGTATCTTCTTTTTCTGAGTAGTTTTTGCCAAAGAATTTTAAGTGTTCTTTAATCCTTTTTTTGGCCACGTATTTTGAATTTTGCTCTGTTTATCTCTATTAATCAAATATTATGCAATTAAAAACTTTCTCTTTCACATTATACTTTATGAGGTACAGTCCTTAAATAATCTAACATTTGTAATTAATACTGTATAAATATGAGCATTTCAAATGTTCTGTTGTCAAAAAGATATCCCTGTATTACTATTTTTACATCATTAAATTTCCTAAATTTAATATCACAGTTGAATGGTGATGTGTAACTGACTTAATTCAAAACTAATTCAATTTAAAAGCAACTTCTCATTGTAACAAAAGGTTGTTCTCCTTTGGTGATTCCATGAAGGTAATTAATTTTTGTCTTCCATAAAGATTTCAGGGTTGTAATTGGGTAAAGCAGAAATTCAATGGCTCAAATATTTGAATATCTTAGATCTCTTTCTGTACTGGAGATTTTTTTTTTTTTATGTTAAGGTCCTGACATCTACTGGATGTTAATTTATACTCAAATATGTTTGAGTTTCATACCTGGGGAATATCTAACTTGATTTATGATGCAAAACATGGAACCCTGAGTCTAACAAAAATGTTTAAGTCAGGTTCAAATGTGACTGTGGTGTATACATGTTGTCTCCAATATTTATCTTTAGAGATGACAGGACATAATTAGTGTGTACTAGTGAAAACTTAGAAGATTCCATTATTGCAAGATGAATACATTTTAATTCTAAATATTTCATTCATAATTTTTTCTACAAAACTATATAGCATTTAAAAAGGAAAGTATACACGATGAATCATCCATCCATCTATCCATCCATCATTACAACTACTTAGATATCATCTAATTGTCAGTTCTCATTTCAAATTCACTAAGACTTATTTGGTAACTCACTGACAAAATTGTTTGAATGTTTTTGTCTAACACTGTAGTTTCTAATTGGTCTGTTTAGACTTTCCAAACTTTTAATAAGGCATTTCATTTGTCAGGGCCATTGTGCACCATATTCATTCTCAAATCTTAGGAAAAACAAAAAACTCCAAGTCTGTGCTATCATAATTCCCACATGGGGATGGGGAATATGGTAATGATGACAGAGCTATTTCTATCTTGAACATATACATTGATTAGCAACTCATTTTACGGAGACACACGAGACATTGAGGCACTGAAAACGATGGCAGTTCTAAATCTGATCTAAACCCTCTTTTTGCCTTAGGAGAATCTTAAACACTCTTTTGATTCTTTTATTTTTTTTCTGTTTAAGATTTATTTATTTATGCATGCAAGAACTGGGGTACAGGCCAGAGGTGTGGCAAGGTGAGAGTATTCACCAGAGATGGAGTGGGGAGCAGAACAGGTAGATCTACTGAAATACACAGCTGAAGGGAGCAGTGGAGAGACAGGAGAGGTCTGCTGCGTCATGTGGGTCAGCTCCCTGGCCAGCCAGGGATTGAACTTGTGCTGCAGTGGCTGGCAATAGATTGATAGAGCTGTGTCCTTAACCCCTACGTCACCAGGGAGGCCTTGTTTTGACCCTTATAATCAATTCCTGTAACCAGTGATGAGAGACACTGATCCAGAAACTTTACAACTATCAAGGCATATGTAAATCACACACACACACACACACACAATTACAGTGTTGACTTGTGCACATGGCCGCTAATACATTTTATACAGTTACTTCATTTTCACTTGTCAACTTCTTTGAGAAAACGATCATGGGTATTTCACCTCCTGGTCCAAGCCAAGCATTTGCTAATCTAAGGTACTGACACATGGCTTTTCATTGCTGGCCAGCTTGCCCTATTGTTGGCTGTCAATAATGACATTTCTTAACAGTCCACAATTATTGAGCTGCCTAAATGTTTGCTTCAGTAACTCCTCATGCCATCCAAAAGAAAGCGAGCATGTTGACAAATGTTCAAAAGTGTCAGTCAGTAAAGTGAGAATTGAAAATGCCGAAAGGTGACAATTGTGATGTCAGTGCCCAAAGGGAAAAAGACCTGACAGTGTAGAGACTGCGGCCTGAAACGCAGTGGCACTTACATGTGAAAGTCATTCCTCTAACAAAGATGTAGTAGCAAGAATTTGAAGATATGAAGGTCTCAAGGCGGGGGACTTCAAGAGAGAGAATGCCACACATTAAACTCAAAATAAAGGGTTTGGCACATTTCTACTGCTCTCTTACAAAGTCTTGTTTTGTGTAAATTGCTTCAGATTTTTAACACCTCATAGATGACATAGCACAGAATGAGTGTTTCAAGATACGTGTTGATGGAATGAATACAGAGAGAGGATAAAGGGATATGTCACCCGGGCAGAAGGCAAAGGCGAAGTGCCTCAGAGAGCAAGATGTAGGCGATCAGGCTTGAATGTGACAACAAAAACATATGACGCATTTGCAAGGTAAATGAAGAAGAAGGGTAGCGATTCAACATTAGTAACTAGACATGCAGTTTGCAACACACAATGGTAAAATAAAGTGCTATTTAGTAATGTAAATCTTTTTTATTTTATTTTATTTTTTTATTTAAATATTTTATTTTATATAATTCTTACATCTTTTTTCATCTTTGCACAATGCATGCATTTTCATTTTGGTTATATTCCCCATACAATTGCACCCCCCCCTTATTTTGACCCTAATCCTTCCTCTACCCACCCCCCCTTTCCCCCCATAGTGTGTCTCTGGTTTATAGTTGCTTGTTGATTTTGATTTTTACTTTGCATTGATTAGTCTTTTTCCTGGCCCCTTATTTAAGTTTTCTAGATTCCTGCTATGAGTGAGACCATCCGGTATTTTTCTTTTTCTTTCTGGCTTATTTCGCTGAGCATGATCCCTTCTAGCTCCATCCATGTTGCTGCAAATTGCATGAGTTTATCTTTTTTGAAGGCTGAGTAATATTCCATAGTGTATATGGACCACATCTTCTTGATCCAGTCATCTATTTTTGGGTGTTTGTGTTGCTTCCATAGCTTAGCTATTGTAAATAGTGCTGCTATAAACATAGGGGTGCAGTAATTCTTAAGGGCAATGCATTTTAAATGAATTTTGAGCAGGAATCTAAATGGAGATTTGAATAATGCACAGGTGAAAAAATCTATTCTGGAATGAAGAGAGAATGAATGCTCCCTGGATATTAAAAAGCTGGGAAAGCAAGTAAGTTATCAAATACCTGATTTTCATATAATATCAAAACCTTATTAAAAGTGTGCTTAATGATGATAGATATATTATAAAATGTTTGTTCAGCGCTGCTCAAAGGAATTCACATTCATGTTAGAAACACACTTCAAATAATTTTATGGGTAGACTTGGCTACCGAATTATTCCTTCCTGACATGTGGCTTTGGGATTATAGGGAATTAAAACAAAATTAAAGCAGATGAGCAGAACCCCTTCTAGAATGCTGTCTCGTCCAGACCAATCTAACACGCTATCTGTTACTCTCATCATCACTACTAAATATCCAAGTCACCTTATTTGCACAACTTCAAACAGAATTTTCTGATTTATGTTGCCGACTGCATTGATGGCTTTTAGCTTTGGGCACTTCTTAATAATTTCCTACGTTATTTTTCTCTTAATGGGTGCTACAAGACAATTCACATTAATTAGAGTCATATTTATTTACGGCACCATTTATCAACTCTATTGTTCCCTCCAAACTGAGTGTTGATGAGTCGTAATATCGCCATCAGTGTCACTGCTGATAGTTTCCTTGCTCTCCACATGACTACAGTGAAAAGCAGTAAAGGCAGCTTTGGGACACTAAGCAACAACTCTCAACCCAGGATCTCGAGACACTGCCACCTTCCAGACTCTTCTCCAAGAGCCAGAACATTCAGAGAAAGGACAGAAGAAGGAGCAGGCAGAGAAACCAACACTCATCACATGTGACCGACATGAGGAACTGGTAGAAAAATTTTCAGACCTTATTTATTTTAGTGAAAAAGATGGTGGAGCTTCCCTTGATAATAAATCTATAAAACGATTGGCTTTTAATGTCCTATTCTGCGTGTCATCTCATTTATGTTTATTACAATATATACCCTTGATGCAAAAGATCTAATACTTCACAATGCTCTTGGAAATTATGTGGAAACATGCTTAAGAGAAAAATCCCTGCACCCCATGTAGGTCAGTGTTTTCTTTGTAATGCAGTAGGTGTGTTGCTCTACGTGTCAAGATTCTATTCATTCTGCATGTTAAATTTGCAGTTCTTTATTTCACAGTGATATAAACATTTCTCAACATGCTTCATAGCTTTTCTTTTAGAAAATGGGTTGTCAAGTTTTCTAGTACTCTATCAATCATATGGTGGTTTCTTATCCATTATTTCATGGATTGGTCCAAGGTTAATTGCCATATTTACACTAATAACATGCACAATTTGCAAAATATTGTTTTATACTATGTGCTCCACAACAATGAATGTTTTAATGTTTTAAAAAGTGTTTAATTCATTGTGCATCTATTTGATCACTAGTTTTACCGGACATTTTATTCGGCTATCATTTTTATTAATGGAAATTCAGGATTTGTGTTGAAAATTTTCCTTTTAACTAGAAAACTAGATTTTGTGCTTATTCACTTAAAACATGAGTGTTTGTGCTATGATTAATGGTTATTTATGTGACCCAATTTTTATCTTTTAATGTTTCTTCTTTGCAAAGCAAAAAAAAATTTATTTGGTCAAAGTAATCAATATTTTACTTTGTGATTCCTTTCTTGGATTTAGGGCTCAGACTTTCATTATTTTAGTGAATAAAATGATCTGCTGTATTTTATTTTTACAGTGATTGTATTGCTGAAATCTTCTGCTTATTTAGTTTGGGCTGTGTAGGACAAATGGAAACAAAGTCTTGTCAAAGTGTCAGAAGAGTTTTCATTCTCTTAATTTATCACTGTTATTCTAACAGGGTTCTAGCTTATGTATTTCATTGCCATCCTCTTTATGGTATGTAACTGCATGAGGGATTACTCCTTGAGGATCGGACATTTTGTCAATTAGAATTAACCCTGTTTGTCTTGGTCAACAATTTACCTTGTAATCCTTTGCAATTTATTTGCTGTCTGTATTCTGTGCCCTTATTCTTTCACCACATCACTCTCCACTTTAAGTTTCATGTGAAATGTAGTTGTAAATGCCTCTCTGAAGCAGTATTTTGCAGGTTAATATCTTTCATTAATCTAAGAATCCAGGAGTGTACCCAGTCCACGATTGTTCTCGGAAGGGATGATTTGTGTTTCTGTTTTGCTTGTTCATCTGGGTGAGCTCACTCTGCCTGGGTGTGTGTCCCTCTGCTATGGTGTGAGCTCTCTCAGTCTACAGAGAGCCCGATTGGAGTGGGGTGAGGCCAGCAGCGCCGTGTTGCTGCAAAGACCCTCCAGGAAGGCAGGTTGGCTGTATCGGTTGTCTGTCTGGCCCTGTGGTGGAGGGGCAGGTATTGTGATTCTCAGCTCGGGTGTAAGCAGCAGGGATGTGGTTTTCTGCTTTCCATCTTGAGCGCAATGGCAGCAGGTCTAGCGACTGAGAGTGACAAGGAGACCCTCATTTGGTTTCTCAATGTTTACATCACACTTAGAGGTGGAATTCCCTCCTATATTGTTCTGCCCTTTGGGCTTCTGGCACTTTCTTTGCCCTGGCTTGTTTTTCCAAAGCCCTTTGGTTCCCATGGTAGTTATGTTGATGCTTCCTCCCTGTCATCTCTAACACTGCATCCCCAGCCAAATTCTCGCAGTTGCCCTTAACATCTACATCATAGATAGAACTTGAAATAACCAAAGCAACACCCAGAATGCCTCCATTTTCCAGCATGAATCCTGCTCGTGATCTCCTCCAAGGATGGCTTGTGCTCCTTCCTGTCTGTTTTCATAAACATCGCTCCCTGTCTTGCACGCTCTCCCATTTATTCTGAACTGCACAGTCTTTGACCTTCTCAGAGACCTTAAGCTGCAATCACACTCTCCGTCTGGGGTCTTTTTAAGGATTCCTGCTTTGTTTACTCCATTCTCTCAGCTTTACATCTTAATACCAGTTCCTACTGTAGCTGCAGGAAGGGCACAGAGCAGGATCTCTATGATCCGAGCAGACCGTGAAGGAGGAGAGAGTCCTGCAACCCTCGGTGGCTGTTTCAGGCTTATATTGGGATTTACCAGGCACACGGCAGGCAGGGGTGCTGAGGCGCCGGGAGGCTGGCAGGCCTCCCAGCCCCCAGCAAGTTTTCACTCTTTCTGGACTCCCCGGCTCATTCTCTTGCGACCCCTGCTTCTCTGCTGGTTCTCTTCCTGGTCTCTCTTTCACTCTGCAGGTGTCCCCGTGATGCCGCCCTTATAAGCCCAGTCTCAACCCAGGTGTATCCCACCAACGTATGCCCACGCCCCATTCCAGGTGCCGCCATCAGGCATACATTCAGGACCACAGGGATCCATCACCAATCCTCATGGCAGGAGGGCAGAAAAGCTTGACACTTTTTCATTTACCCTACACTACCCTACAAACAAAAGCTATGAAATAAAAATAAGCCTCAGCTCACAGCAGCCTCCAGCTACCACCTTAAATGGTTCCTTGTTTTAACTCTGAGACTTCTTGTTTACACTTAATCTCCCACCTTGACAACCCAACTCACCACTCAACAGAGGGGGGTTCTGCCCTTTGGGCTTCTGGCACCTTCTTTACCCTGGCTTGCTCTCCATTCCCATTTCAGGGAAATTTGTTTTCCTTCATGGGAAATAGGAGGTTCTGGAGGAGTTTGAGAAGTTTCTCAACCATGCAGCTTCACTTCATCATGGACCTGTTGCCCAGGAAAGCCCCTCCTGTCCCCCTGGATTGATTGATTTAGGTGCAGACACATAATTCACGGGATATGTGGCACAGCAGGCTTGCGGACCAGAGATGGACCACAGTTTTAATTTAGTGAAAGATGCCATCTTTCAGTGGAAATCTTGCCAAGTTTTGGGCCACCTCCCCTGGCTGCCATATATCCTGGAATTAGAGAAACCAGGTGAGAGAGAATCGCAGTTATAGACACACAAGTCAGACTAAATGCAGAACATGTCATCCTGGGCTGGGGACCCCAGTGCCAGCTACTCTCCAGGTCCACCCATACATGGAGTTTCTTTGCTGTGACTATTACAACCTCTATTGGTAAAGATTCTCCTGTGCTCCTTTTCATCTAAGCTGAGAGCTTTTAAAGATGCTTGTTGTAGCTATGGTGATGTGGGGTCAGCTTACCCTTCTTATTCTTCTCTTATCACTGCTCATATCTCCAGCCTTCAACTATATTGAACATATATTCATTTTTCAATGTCTAATGCTCCTCTTGTCTCAAGTCCTTCCAAAATGCTAAGCTCTCATTGCAAAATACTCAGTTCCTTTCTCTTCTACTCACTCCTTTGCTTTGATAAGAGTTAATAATGCATTGCAATATGAAAAAGCACCCAAGGCAAAGAAACACAAGATTTAGCCTCATTTGTGTGTCTTGTAGAAGGAAAAATATGATTAGCAGACATGTTTTTTTTAAGTATTAGCCTGCTATGTCCTAACAATGGAAATTCCTGTCTTTATATCTTTTTTTTTGGAAGACTTTGAGGAATAAGTCTTCTTGTAAGTCACTACAGAAATTCTTTCTTCTAAGGAATTGATTGATATTGTCTGAAACTCCCATGAAGTAATTTCATAATACCACTTGTTAGTAAGGTGATTTTCATATATCACTTTGAAATAACCAATGTCCACCACTGGAGGATCCGGGAGGTGGGACCATCTTCTATGCTCAGGTTGAGAAACAGAAAGTGTGGTAACATTTGTAAAAGGATTTTAAAAAAAGAAACAGCAGGTAGACATGACTAAGAGAGATGCCTGTATATATGAAGATAGATTTAAAATGAATCTGGGGAGAAGTTTCTTCAAAGCCGTGCTCAATCAGATATTCATTGTGATGGGTGGTCAGGCTGCGTGCTAAGAGCACAAGCCATGGTCCTGGTGTGCTGCTGCGACCAGAGCTTGATGTCACTTGTGGGCAGATGGCGTGATAGTTGGAAATGGGCCCTATCATGCCCAGAGTTAAAAGTCACTGACCAAGGGATCCTTGTGATGTTCCCGCAGTCCCAGAGCCAGGCTGACTGAGTTTGCTGCCCCAAGGCAGATGCATCCCTGAGGAACTGTGGCGATATCACAAAGGCAGTCTTGGGAGAAACATTTTATAGAACTCAGGCTTGTGCAGGACGGGGTGTGGGAGAAACTAAGAAACAAGGACAGGTTTGGAATTGGATATTTCCTGGAAGAAAAGGGAATTCAGAATTACATATTTTAAGCATTTTCTCTGGGAGAAAGGAGCATTAAAACAGGGTCAGAATCGTCACGGTGATAAAGCAGCATCGGCCATGTCTGTCATGTTTTCCACATGGTCCATGTTCATCCAAAGCTCGATTGTCCAGTTGTTGTGGGGACTGTGTGGTGCCAAGTCCATCTTGTCCCCAGTAGGCTGGCATCACGGGCTTCTTTTAATGTTATTGGTATTCAGTTGAGGGACCTTGTTCTGCCTGTGACAGTGCGTTCTTAGCGTTGCCAGGCGTGACTATGCATCTCTGCTCTCCTGTGGCCCCACGTCTCGTGTGGCCAAGGGACACTGAGTAGAAGTGGTCATGGGCATGATTAGTTGAAGATTTCAAGCAACCATGTTGCCTCCCCAGCAACCTTTACCCTCCTGCGAGCCCCAGGACATTGCAGATGGGCTGCTCCTTGAGCTGTGTCCCCTAAAAGAGCACAGAGAAAGAGTCACTGCCCTCACCAAAGGACAGAGGTCAGAGGACAGGGTGGGTGTGAGATGGTTGCTTGATTTGGTCAGCACCCGAAGCTACTGAGATTTAAGAGTTGTCTGTTCCATGACACTGTGGGGAGTCTAAGCTGGGGGACATGTACAGTTATCAGAGCAGTTCTTGTCCACTAGTGACCAGTCTATAAGTATGGTCTCATTGACATTTT